GAGCTACAATGCTGCCAGTTCGTCCGATACCGGCCGAGCAATGGATAACGCATGGAGCAGTTCGGATTCTGGAGAAAAGAAGCATTTGTCAGGGTTAAAAAATTCAAATAACCTAAATTACCTGTCAAGGAGCTGTAGAGGTATTCTACAGGAGTTATGATCAGGAACTCCTCGATCTGGCCAGCTAAAAAGGCAGAGAGATTCTCACTTAGAGAAATTACCTCAAGACATGGCCAAAAACCCACGTGGTCCACCTAAACAGCCGAAGATGCAGTGGTTTCCGTTGTTCTGGCGATAATTCAGAATCGCTCACTGCTGGAAACAACTTCTAAACTATGCATGTGCTCATTACAGTAGGTTACAGTGCACCTACCATACTCTGGATTCAATTCCAAAGTCAACGAGGTGGTGGTGGCGAATTCGTCCGCATCTTCGCCAACATTTTTTACTTGAACCGTTGGCAACACATCACATTTGCCAACAGCCTCCGGCCAATACACAGAACATTTCGGCCGCCCATCTTCGCAAGGCCTATAATTACAGTATCCCCTTTTAAAAAGTGTTTGCCAAAAATGCCTGTTGTTATAGCATATAAGAGAAATCCCTTTCCTCTAACTTGTTCTTTCAGACTAAACAACTCTTTTCGCCCTCTGCATACAGCAATTTTTTGGGAACCTACCTAAAAACAACAGAAGTAGCGTCATTAAGAAAAGTTTGAAAGTCTATTGACTACTTTTTTTACTTTTCGCTTACGCTCTCGCACACAATAGACTATGCCCATAAGTGTCCTTACTCCTAAGAGTATATAATCATTAAATGATAATTACCTAATGAATTATTTAGAAAACAGAAAGAGATGACGTAAATGACGTGATGATGCATAGATGTATGACGTAAATGCATGCATCAATCAGCCTAAGGTTATAGTTATATATGCAAAGCCCCTGCACATTTAAAGGATAGATCTAGGATTGTTTCGCCCAGATTGTTTCATACCCCC